TCGTAATGAACCCATTTTTCGTCCCCAGTCACAATGCGATGCAGAAATCCGTCTTTGCCTTTCAAGCAGCTGTTCACAAGCAAACAAACGCCGTTCAACATCTCTCGGCTTCAATTCGGCACCCAATTGCTTCTGAATTATTCTCATGGCTTTGAGGCGTTTTGAAATGGCTTGTCGAGTCACTTCCAATGATCGTGCCAATTCGTCTTGATTTTGACACGAATCTTGCTCAAGTAATGTCTCCAATTCTGTATCTTCGACAATCTTCTCTCTTTCACCGCTATGCCATCTTCGACGTCAAAATCACCGTTCTTGAAGCGTTGAAACCACTCACGACACGTTCACTAATAGCGGCCTCACCATAAGTATTTGAGAGCATTTGATGAGCCTCAGCCACAGATTTCTTCATATTGAAGCAAAAAATTAAAACCTCCCGCAAAGACGAGAATTTGGCTCGTAAACTGACATTTTCAATCGAGAATAACTTTATGATGCAGACACTAATCGACTAATGTTTCTATGGGGTTATGTTGACAGATGCCCAAGACAGATTATTGTATGACGTCTATGATCTATTTATTTCGACCACCACTTACCGCTAAAGCCATCTATAGGAAAACGGCGGAAGCAAAGTTGTACACCTAATACAAAAGAAATTTAAATTTTGTGATTAGTATTTTATTAGATAATGACTATCGGTTGAAATTTATTTTTGAAACTTTGAATGACAGGATAAAAAATTAATTAAATCCAATTGTATAAGATACCTTTATCAATATAGGCAAAAAAGAACATATCAGATGGTTTACAATACTTTTATTAATGGAATTTCCAACAAGTTTTGCAAATTTATCAATGGTAATGTGTTATAAGGTTGCTCATTATAGTATTAATAAATTAAACAAATTCATTAAGATTCACAAGGATTTTGCCGAATTTGCCAAAAAAAATGTGGTTTACCAGATCGAATGTCATGATTGCGATACTATCTACGTAGGATAAACAGGAAAAAAATTAAAAACGAGATTAGCAAAACATCATTAACACAATCAATATACAGCAATCATATATAATACATAGAGTTACATCCACTCGTTTAGTTATCACAAATCATAGGGTGAGTTGCAATTATGACTTTGATTGGGATAATATGAGAATTCTGAATTCTGAGAGAAATTATAATAAGCGATTATAATGTCAGAGATGCTCTATATAAATCGTCATCCAATAGTCTTAACATATAAACTGACATTGAGGGATTAAATCATAGATACATAGAAATTCTCAACAAGTTATAATATGTTTATTTTTATCATTGACTGATATGCTTTGTTCGCGCGACACATCTCTTTTTGTATTCAACAGTATTATGTGACTAATATCACAACGAATGTGATTCTCTTTTATGTTACTTAAACTATTTTTTAATCTAACTTTGACATCGTGATTTTTTAATTTGTAATGGATTGACGATGCTTGGATCCGCATGCGATTGTTGTTGATGAGTTTCTGGCTAGCATACATAAATTACGCAAATTAATATCTATTTACTCAAAAATATCTTGTTGCAATTATTAGCTTGAGTTCCACTATCTGCTCCACTCAGCTAAGCAATTGGTTGGCACATTAGACTATATTAAAGATGTCTCTCATCACATTTCTACTGCATTATTGAAGATCGGAACTACGATTATGCGAAACGCAATTCAACAGATTTTATAGTGCGATAAGAGGTAATTTTTTATTGCTGAGGATGGCTCAAATAGTGAAACATAAAAAATTGAATTTGTGGCATATTAATAGATATTAGGTAGCACTATGCAATATAATATTCAGCGCTGACTTCTAATGTCCATATTTCGCCATTATTTTTTCATTATAAAGATAAAATTTATTAAATATCAATTAAAATTAATAGTAACAAAAATGTTTGAAAATAATTTTTTTGCATATATTATATAAATTATAGAAATACATTTTTTATTGATTTAAAACTTGAAATTGAAACTTTTCGAAGTAGAATAATTGAATAATACAAATGTATTCTTTTTTTTTAAAGATACTCTTTATTTGAAATTTTGTGACAAATATTTTATGTATTATCAGGTACCATCAATGTCTTTTGCAGAAGGAATTTCAGTCACGTCATATGCAATGGCTTCACTAATGCAATTCTATTTATTATGTTCTTCTGTACAAACATTATTAGACGCAGTAAGATTTAGAGTACTTTACATTATATAAATTATTATAATTTTATGTATTTTATTATATTAAACAAAAGAATTTGCGGTTATACATAATTACAATAGAATTTCATAAAATTATGATCTATAAATGTAAAAGGAAAAGTAATTTTATTTATTTAAAATGTAACTATATAAGGATTGGAAAAAATTACTTTTTAAACTTTTTAATATGTTATTGTTACTGTCATTTAAGCGATAAAAAGTGACTTGTTGCCACTACTCGTTACTCGTTACTTGTTACCCAATTCTGAAAAGTAACACATTACTGTTACATAAAAATATTGAAAAAAGTCGATACTTTTCATTACTTTTTTTGTATTATATTACAAAAAACAGGTTATTTATCGATTTTGATGAAATTGGGGTCATTCGACGCGTTTTTGCACATGTGCGAATCTGATAAAAAAATAAATTTCGCTTTTCTCCGCGAATCAAAATATTAAGCATTAAAGTTGATGACTATTGATATTAGGAAATCTGTCAGATTTTTTTCATTTCGTGTAAAACGCGTGGAATAACTCTAATTTCATCAAAATCGATGAATAGTCCCGTCTTCTGTATAATTATTCTTTTTTTAAATATTAATAGACTTCTAAGACAGAATGCTAAGACAAAATATAAATTAAATATGAAATATTTAGAAAGATATTCATTTTTGAACATGTTTATTTATTATTAATAATTTTACATATTTAAATTTAATTATTTACAATAATTTAATTTAATTTAATTTAGTTTATTGCAAAGCTATATGAAAAAGACTATATGTTAACAGAGTAATAGATATAAAGTATGATACTATAGTTATCATAAATACATTGTATCGTATATAATACATTATATCATTTTATTATATAATATTTCAGTCTTTTGTTCTTAGATAAAGAGAGGAAAGTAAATGAAATAAAAATAGTTAAAATGTTTTTTGTTTATTTAGTACCTATAATCTTATTGTTCATGACGACCGTCCTATAAAAAAGTAACGACAGGAGAGTAACGGAGTTAATTTCATTACTCATTACCAAAGAAAATGTAATTAATAAAATGTTATTAATAAAAAAAAAAGTAACAGCGTTACCAAGTCATTACAAAAAAATAACGAAAAAGGAATATCGTTACAAATAACAAGTTATTTCCTGTATATAAATAATAAATATAATTATGAATTTCAAATATTGATAACATTAAATAAGAAATATGTAATTTACTACAATTTATGTAATTTACTACAAAACTTGTAATTTTTTATTTTATGTTAATTATAGAGTACCGAAATAACAGACAAAGCATTTGATGAAGGCTGGTATCAATTTGGTCCATCAACGAAAAGTACATTTATATTATTGATAATGTCTAACAATCTAGAATGCAGAATTGCAGCGATTGGAAAGTTTAATTTGTCTTTGCCTTCATTTATGACGGTAAAATTTATTAATTAAGATTTAATTATGACAGTAAAATTATTATGGATTTATACTTCCTATGTGCTTTAAAACGATTAATACTTTAAATCGCTCACGTATTTTTTAATGGTGTTTTAGATCATAAATCAATCATATTCAATTGCTCTTTTGTTATTAAGAGCAAATTAAGAAAAATATTTTACACACATTTAAATTTAGAGTAGATATAAGATAGAAGACGGTTATTTTGAAACGAAAAATATTGAAATGAATATTAAAAAAATTTTATTATACAAAGAAAATAAATTCTTTTGCATAATGAAATCGAAAATACAATTGGAACAATTTAATAAGCTACAATATATAACAGACGTTATCATATTACTCACAATCAGAAATTGAATCTTTGTCTCCTGTCAATCTCGAATTATTCCTCAACCTAGAAATAATTGAATTTAAAGGTAACTTGTTATATTTTAATAGCACTTATTTCAGAGAATATAGAAAATATCAGCACACAATTTAAGTGTTTGTATAAAAAAAATATACGTATTTATATACTAATTTGTGTCTAATTTTTTTGAAAATTTGTCACCCATAATATAAACTTATTTAATATAATAAAATTTTTATTATATAATAATTAATGTTTATTTTCTAATGTTAATATAATTTCTTTTCTATTTTTTTA